CAAAAAAGCTAAAAGGTTTGACCTTAAGTAACCAATCACGATTAACCTAAAAGAAAACAGTCGATGCTAGTTGAGTCACACGCATTGGTGCAGGTAAGATCTCGATCATTAAACTACGAGCACTTCTAGCTAACTTACGAAACTCTCCAATACGAGTCCAACAGCCCGTGACAAATTAATGTACAAAGTAGTCGATATTCTGGCTATCATTTCCTAACCGGTACTTCCAGTGTTATAATACTTGTCCTGGAATATACATAGCCCGCTTTAACGAATGCCTGCTGACGTCTATACCCTTATCAGTATTGGAAGGACACAGCCCACATTTTGTGTAATGCATTGAATCACGGAAAAGATAAATAACCTTCTCATGTTTTTATATGGTTTTTGTCAGAAATGGATGATAAGGTTTCAGCAAAAGGGAAATGAAAGTCCCAACAAAACCACAGGCAAATAAGTGAACAGAATATCTGAAAATGGTTTTCTTTTACAATATGAATATCATAGTTTCTTGAATATATATCGAGTCCTTTGTGAACCTTCACGTGCCCGCCGTATATGTGAGTGAGTGAGTTGGGTTTAGCGCCGCTTTAAACAGTATTCTAGTTATATCACAGCGTGTCAGCTTAATGTGGGAGGAAAGCCCGAAGTGATGCAGGTCATAGACGTTTACCACTTCGGTGAAACCCACGAGCACGGGTATGGTGCTGACAAACCTAGAAACATAATCGGGACGAACCGGGATTCGAACCCACAATCATAGGTTTCTGGCGTGTCCAAATGACGCAACTCTGCACAGCGAATCGCGGCGCCTTAGACGACTGGGCCACCCGTGCCCCCTCTGTATTTGTAACAAATTGGGGTATCTGAATTGGAATGGGGAGACAAAAATGAATAAATCGATTTGTGTATGGTCGTTACATTATCCCTTGTTCCCAACCAAACCGTCGATCGTGATTGCAATGGCAATGTTTCTAGAACATTTACTACATGGCTGTAATTATGTTGATGTTCCCGTGCCTTGATACGAGTTGATTTTCCCGTGCAAATCCAGAGAACCGTTACATGGCTGATGAGTAGAAACGCGCATGCTTTGCAGCAAAGGCAAACAGAATACGTTTGTTTTCTGATAGTAACACGCAATTCGTTCAGATACGGCAGGTTAAGTTACATCACCCCCAAAAGACCCCTAATGGCAAAATCTCCATGTAGATGAATTCCACGAGCCTATGACACGGTCAACAGCATCACTGCTGGGTTTGCGTTAGACAAATACAGCACTGTCTGCAGTTCTCTAATGAGCTTTACTGTAGGAAAACATGTGAATGGGAACGGGAAACTTGAACTAGAGAAGATTGTGGAGACCTGAACATTCTTTCATCAGCGTCAGATATCTTCAATATGTCATCACCATCTTGAATGGGGTTGGAGGGATACAATCTTGTCTAAATAAATCTAGGGCGTGTGTTCATGTAGGAAGCATTTGGTTTTTGGTTTATTTTTCATTCGGGTATGATTGCACTTGTTATGTTTTGTTGAATTAAATACAGTGAGTGAGTGAGTGAGTGAGTGAGTGAGTGAGTGAGTGAGTGAGTGAGTGGGCAGTGAGTGAGTGAGTGTGTGAGTGAGTGAGTGAGTGAGTGAGTGAGTGAGTGAGTGAGTGAGTGAGTGAGTGAGTGTTAACACAGTTTTGTACATAGGTTTAGTTGCAGCACGTCGTATATGCTTGATGTGAGAGGAAAGCCCGAAGTGTAGCCTTGCTCAAAGGTTGCACTGAATGACAAGTCCATGGGCGTAGAGTAATTCTATCCTTATAATGGACAAGTCTAGATAATCGGACAGTACACCAGTCTTTTATAGGGACAACTTGTTCTCATTATGTATATAATCTAAAAATCATGATATAAACTAATAATTATTGCCTTAGAGACTCGTGGAAGTCAACTGGAAGGGATGCAGACCTTAGACTTAAACCCAACGAGCAGCAACATGATGCTGACTTAGAAACACAATCAGGGCGAAACGGATTTGGAACCCACGATCATAGGTTTCTGACACGCCCAAGGGACGCAATTCTGCAAAGCGAGTTGTGGTGCCTCAGACGACAGGACCACCCTTGAGAGGTCGCTGCACGAACATAAAGGAATATTCAAATCTATTCCAATGTAATATGTGAACTCGTACGAACATTAAAATCATATATTCAGTACGCAAATGCACAACTAATGTCTGTGCCATCAACTGCTGAATATATGTTAAAAAATGTCAAAATTATGTGCTTCGTTACACCAAAATAGAGAGGTCAAAGACACATATGTGTTTCACGGAGCCGTGATTCAACCTTTCGCTTAATAACAGGCCTCGGGACTGCATTATAATGGATGTAGTGTGTTAATGACTCTTTACATTGTCAGTTGTACTTGACAATGCCTTTCATGATCGCACAGTTATAAGTGCCTTTTCCTTTTAAGAAACACATGATGTAGTTATATTAGGTGACACGATGTCTACGCTTGACGTGTTGAACATACCCTTAATAGATTGACCTCAGAGAAAAGAACAATGATTGACTTCCATAGATCTAAGGGGCACGGGTGGTGCAGTCGTCTAGGGCGCCGCGACTCGCTGTGCAGAGTGGGTTCGAATCCCGGTTCGCCCCGATTATGTTTATAGGTTTGTCAGCACCATACCCATACTCATGGGTTTCACCAAAGTGGTAAACGTCTGAGTTGCATCACTTCGGGCTTTCCTCCAACATTAGGCTGACATGTTGTGATATGACTGGAATACTGTTAAAAGCGGCGTTAAACCCAACTCACTCACTCTTATATCTAAGCTATACCACATGTACATGTATATGTATTTGAATGTTCGATTCAGCTTCAATGGATTTGAATATTTCACTCTATATTTTCAATGAGACCTGACATTTGTGGTATCAGGGACAGTGTTCTCGTTAGAGAATTGTACATTCAATGCAAAGTGTAATATATCACAATTTGTAAAACGTACATGTCTTAAGGCAGTGGTGTGACACGGACATCAATCCTGTTGCCATTTTAATTTATCCTTGACTCGCATCTGACACGCTAACGTTAAGCCCTCGGATCTGAGGGTTTACTCCATTTCAAAACTTTAGCTACACTTTTTCATTTCGTTTTTATGTCACTCTGAATAAAAGACGTCGACAGACTAAGAATTAGTACAAGTAAACGTTCAGTCTACTCCCTCTCAGTCGTGGCGAATGTCGGTTGAACGCTTTGAATGCACAGACACAAATGCAACACGGAAACTCCCTGCTCGGGCGTACCATCAAGGAACACTGTCACGCGTGACATGATACAGGAAATGTCAAGACAGGTGGAGTGGTTATGTTAATGTTATCTGCCCATGCACATGCATCCCTGGCAACGCCAACCGTCGGCGGGAGACACCAGAAATGTGCTTCAATGCTTCAAACATCGTATCCCAGTCATGAATCGAACCCCCTGAATTCGTGGTACGAGCCAACGCTTTACCCACGATGCCCTACTGTCCCGCACGTACACAAAGCCGTCGACACGTAAACACGCAAGGCCGTGATGCGATTCCTTCTATGACATAAGCATGTGTTTATGAATCACTTGCAAAAATAGTGATGATACCAGGTGTTCTCGATAAGGTGAGCATATTCTGCTCCGGCGACACTCGTCACAAACACATGCAGAGGCACGCAAATCGTTTACCTGAGTCACAATCAAAATAGGGAATTGCATCGGGCATAAGTTTTGTCACTATCTTTCGTAGTAACGCTATCTTCTATAGTAACACAATCTTCTCTAGTAACACTATGTGTTCTAGTAATACTATCTTCTCTAGTAACACTATCTTTTAAAGTAACACTATCTTCTCTGGAAACACTATCTTCTCTAGCATGGTATCATCTTCGTCTGTGGCTGGTCATCAATTACATGATATATTTATAAATAAACTAACAAGTTATACACACTTACATGACCAGACAAATTGATTTAGTTGGTATAAATTCACTTTACATCTTTCATTCATTAAATCGTAACCACTGTAAAAAAAAATATACATTTAAAAATTTCTGAACAAACTATTAACTTAAAAATACCCCCACCCCTAGAAATCAAATGGATTTCCCCTTTAAGCATTATACAAACATTAATCATTCGATTGCCTTATGTGTGTGTGTGTGTGTGATATACGACGGACGCGACATTGCCCCATCGTGTTAGATTACCCGGATATGCACTGTAACGCCGTATAGCTGACATGCAGAAAAGTGTAAACGCAAACACATTTTTTAAACATTACTTATAGCGTTGTCGCAGTGTGACATCCAAGGTTTAAGTGACATGTAGTTCACACGCATTTCCTTCCGGGAACATACTTCATGCATAATAAGTATGGGCCGAAATATGTACGAATCGTTGTATTATGACGGTTTCCATGATATTATAAAACATTATTGACCGTTCACAATTAATGTAGAGTCATGTTTATACTCGGGTAAAAACACTGTGGTAAAAGCAATATTATTTAAGAATGACCCAAATCAACACTCACCCTGACTTGGTTTGTGCCCCCACAGTATAAACTGACTCAGACAGGTTTCACATAAAACGGGGAAATATTTCCATATTTCCATACATTATCCACGCGTGATGGTTATAAGTGAAAAAGCCCGACCTACGGTTTACGTCAAGTGGGCATAATGTGTCCGTGAAATCTAGTAACAATGGTTTGTCTATCTCTGATCAGCAGCTGAGAAAACTGAACAGTTTCCGCGAACACTGCAAGCTCAATGGTTTGCTCTTGCCCGGCAAATATGTGTGAGTTTCTTTCAAGTTCACAAGTTGAAAATGTGGTTTACATTGCTACGTTACCCGTTAAGACGGGAGGGAGAAATAGGACAGACACAAGCGTCACATAGGCGGGAGGGGCTACGATTATCACAATGTCACGTAAAGTATGCCAGAAATGTATCACTTTACCTCTCGCATTATTTCGAAAACTGCAAAAGTAATTCCACAAGTCATCCTCTCTCACGCGAGGCTGTGAATCCACGACTTGCTCCAAAGCACTCCTGAATATAAACCGTTGATAACAAAGCGAGCCTCCATTGGATATAACCCCATACCGGTTACCTCCCTTTGGTATCCTCCAGTGAAAAGGCAGTTTTATCAAAACACTGGAGATAACATATTTCACGAGTAAATGTACTCACTGATTGTTTGTAAAACACTTTCAACCGGCTCAGTGATAAATGCTAAATCTTTCCACTGAACGGTTGCCCTGAGCGATACACTTTCTCAACAACAATGCTGGTGGTATGTGCCTTAAGTTACGATCCATTGTCCTATAAAATACTGTCCACAAAGCGAGATTCCGTTGGACAAATCACCACTGTACTGTCTCAACAGAGTTTAGTTCCCGTTCTAGCTATCTCGATGCACCACACTTCCTTTTGTCTTTAATTGTCAGTGGTGCTATATATACTCTATAACTATATATATATAGTTGGTCATGTATACACATGTATATCGGAAATGCACAATAGTCTATGTCACTGTTAGTCATCAGTCAACATCTGTCACTGCCAGAGACGGTATTTACGCATGATAAGATATCTAACGCCGGAGTCATAATCGGGGTTGTCTCAGTATCATAGTGAGTGTTTGGGTGAGTCTGGTTTTACGCCGCTTTTATCAACATGCCATCAATACTAGTATATACACGGAGACAATGGGCTTGAATTTGAACCCATGTGGGAATCGAACCCGGGTCTTCGTCGTGACGAGTTAACGCTTTAACCACTAGGCTACTCCACCGCCTTTTAAGTATCTGGAGGTATAAAAACAATCGATGAATTTATTATTCCAATTACATGCCTCCACGTTTTAACGGTTAATCAGTAATCTCTAAAGTATATAACGTTACTTCGTCACTGCCTTCTCTTTCGAGGTCGTGTATGAATATTAAAGAACAACCATTTCACAGCAATGCATGAACAATTTACGAACACGTTTAACGGTTTATTTAGGAGCATTCGCTACACCGTAATTAGCTGAAGAGCTGTATCTTCAGAGATATGAATGTCAGTCTTAAAACTATGGCATAACCATACTCACTGATAGACTTTAAATACTGTGTTGTGATGGGTGCCACTGATAGGGCACACCTCGTCACAAACACCTTTTATCATCACTATTTGATAGTGATTCATGAACTCGTGCTTGTGATCCACTCGAAATCGTACAATTTGTTGTGGCTATGGACAGGGGTTTGTGGCTTTTATTATAGATAGATTTTAAGGCGCATTCAATTTATTTCTTGCAAAAGCTGATACTCATAAAGTGGCTATTGTATTGATTGGACAAAATGTAGACTCAACTAAAAAGGAGCTTTCTACGAGAACTCCATCCATATCTCTCCATCAAAATACAGGGAACCCTCGTTAAACCGAAAAGAAAACACGGTATATATATACCGAGTATATCGAGTTCCTGATACGCAGAAGACGGAAATTAGATCACTATGATAAACTGAGTTCGAGTAAAGAGGTATATTACATGATTATCCAAACAAACACTAGGAAATTAATAATACAGTATTGAAATGCTAACTGCGCAAGGTTACAATTTTGTTAAACAAATCCGTTTAGTTTTTAGCTTTTAACAGATATGTCTGTTAACTACGGAAATGGTTTTGTCGCATTTGTTCAACGTTCAATGACTCTCCTTACGTCACTAATGCTTCATTAATTTTAACAATTATTTAACTGACAGTGAAATGTGTACCTATTAAACTAGAATTATCTCGCTCAATCAATTCAATCATATATCTTATATTGTACTATTGTCTTTATATTGTCTTTCAAAACATCTGGCAGATGAGCAATAAGCTAGCCAATCCGTTGACACAAGCTACAAAAGATGGATCACTTGTTCCTCGAACCAAGTAATAATTTCGTATGACCTTAATACAAAAATAACGTAAAACGCCATGTCTAGTCATGAACAGGAAACACTTCCAGTCCCAATTGACACACAATATCCCACCTACTTGAAACCACACTCGAGCTGAGCAAACTGACCCATTACTAAAATTGCTGGTTAAACCGATCAGAAAAGACCCTGCAGTTAATGTACATGGACTGCCGATATCAGGGAAGGCCTATGTCTATGTGTCTGTGTACATCCGTGATCTTCTTGCTTTCATTGACCTAGTGGTGATCCTTTAAGCTTGAAGTTTATTACTGTACTTTATCTTATTGACAGCTTGCAACGTACGCGTGTCTTTGACTGGTCATGCCAACCACTTAGGTAAGGAAACATGACAGACTGTCTGGATTACATATGTAAATGTGATATGAGCCACTATATCGCTTGAGTGTTTGGGGTAACAGTTCGTGGTCATTACAATACATTTGGTGTGTAGAGAATACGATGGTGGACGCTGCACACTTGGGAAGTGTTGTGTTCTTGAAGAGAGACTTGATCTTAGGCGAGTCGTATTCAAAGTAGACTTGACGATGCTTGACAGCGGTATAGGGATATATACCGGAACGTCGCCATAACAGAAAAAAGGAGTTTATATCAATAAATTGTGTCTACTTTATCATCCTTAGCTTCTAAGAAATGTCTATCAAACAAATCTTTAGTCGTAATCATGATCAGTGTCACGCGCATAGAGTCACTAGTTATGTGTACTGTTAGGACGTACTGACATCCATTGGTCTAATAAACATAATAACAATAAAAATCAGCGAAGCAAACTGTCGGTCCACTGTGCGAGGAAAAAATGAATGATTTGTTAATTTGTTGTTTAACGCCGCACTCATCACTAAAAGAAAAAAAATAATTATAAAATAATCGAGTCTGGATCAGACAATCCAGTGATCAATATTGTGAGCAACGAACCATACGGTCGGGTTACGATGACCCACAATCAAACAAGTCACCGAGCCTGACCACCCGATCCCTTTGGCCGCATCTTACGAACAAAATAGGTTGCTCGGGACCAATTCTAACCCGGAATCCCAACGCGGACATGGTCCTTTCCAAGCCAATATGTAATTCAGTGAACGATTGAACGAAGAAGTAGAAAGCTAAAACGAGTTAGTTTGCTGGTTAGGAATTCGGTAAATTGCCAACGACTTAATCAGTGAGTCAATCCTTAAGTCGTCGGTATCAGGCAGTGGGTGGACAGTTGCCAGGTTGATTCAGTGAGTCAGTTAATGTATGACTCGAACACAAATTGACTCAACAAGGTCAATGGTAAGGAAAACAAAGCATGAAAGAAAACTAGTCAATGAGGGAGGAAATGTGTGAATGAATCATTGAATGAATGAATGAATTTAGCAGAAATTGAATACTAACCTGAACAACTGATTTGTTTGTTTGTTTGTTTGTTGTTTAACCACACTCAGCAATATTCCAGCTATATGTAAGTAATGGAGTCTGGACTAGACAATCCAATGATTGACATCATGAGCATCATTCTACGAAATTGGGTCACGATGACATGCATCAAGCAAGTCAGCGAGCCTGACCACTCGATCCCGTTAATCGCCTTACAAGCATAGTCGCCTCTTACGGGTAAGCACGGGTTGCTGAAGACCTATTCTCTACCCGGATCTTTGCGTGTCTGATCCATTGAAAGTGTGAATAATACGTAAAGGAACTCATTCTCTCAGAACGTCTGTAGTTAAATGAATAGATAGACAAATAAATGAGTCTCCCACATGAATGGAGCATGTTTGCAATGAGCGTACATAACACAATCTGTACTGTTCCCAGTCATCACGGCCGGTACGCGTTATACAGGTTTATCCAGGTGATGACACGACACAAACACGAATTTCAACGAAATGTGTCTCGTTTAATAACTGATGTTATCCTGAATCAAGTGAGTCTCTTTTAATCGAAAACAAATCTTCTGCACACACGTTGATAATATTTCACTTTTGTAAAGACCTACCCCAAGCCGAGTTTTGCCTGTATGATATACTACTCAAAAGAAGTTAAGGATCACCTGATTCTTTCATATTACAATAGTTAATCTCTCATGTCATGACAGATTAACATTACCAATATGAAAGAATCGGGTGATCCTTAACTTCTTTTGAGTAGTATACATTACTCAAAAGAATTAACATAGGTTATTTTGATTTTCTGAAAACGGCATATTTATTTTTGTTATACAGTGAAATATACTCTACTGAAAATTCATTATCTCGCTAGTGAGCAAGTGAGTATCTTTTTACGTCGCTTTTTGCAATATTCCAGCAATATCACGGCGTGGGAGACCGGAAAATGGGCTTCACACAATTGTACCCATGTGGGGAATCGAACAAGGGTCTTACGCGTGACGAACCAACGCTTTAACCACTAGGCAACCCCACAGCCCCTCACTAACTTTATAAGACGATATAACTTCACCGCGCCGTTAGATTCGACACTTGTACATGATTTACGATGTTGTATGCTACACTTCTTGTTTCGAAATACGGATAAATTGATCTGTGGCGGTTGGCCCCGATGACGCCGGGTTATCGCGGTTTTACTGTAAATGTCAAACCTTCAAAACAAATTGCGTTTAAACAACATGAAATACCCATTTTTTCACATAACATCGCTTTAAACACTTACTGCACGATGTAACACTTGCAGGTAAATCTGCAGCAGGCCAGTGTAAATAAGCACGTTTTTATCCCCAGCGTGTTAAAACAAACTGCACAACTTGCCTCAATGGCCTTTCTGCCACGTTCCTGTTCGCTCGCCACGGAAACACACGAGAGCCATGTGTGAGGTTGTCCCTTCGTACTCGTCACTGACAGCTTCGCAATGCCTGTTCACAGGAACCCTTTGCTGTCAATCATGAAGACTGATCGCACCTTGCCCGTCGGATGTTAATAGCTTATAAACACATGATTTGTCCCAGCTGTGCGTACATGACCGTGGTCTATTCAGGTAACCGTACAGCACCTTATAATTACAAGCCAAAGTAGCATAATTAGACCTGGAACAGTTCGCGGGGGATAAGGATTTGTTTGTGAGCAGTGAGTCCTACCTGCTGTATAGACTTTGATGAGCGTTTTACTGTAATGATTTATTCAAAGCGTTTATAACAAGCAGTTTGTGAATATATTGCGTGAAGCGAGGAGTGAGTGAGTGAGTGAGTTGGGTTTAACGCCGCTTTTAACAGTAGTCCAGTTATATCACGGCGTGTCAGCTTAATGTGGGAGGAAAGCCCGAAGTGATGCAGGTCTCAGACGTTTACCACTTCGGTGAAACCCACGAGCACGGGTATGGTGCTGACAAACCTAGAAACATAATCGGGGCGAACCGGGATTCGAACCCACGATCATAGGTTTCTGGCGTGCCCAAGGGACGCGACTCTGCACAGCGAATCGCGGCGCCTTAGACGACTGGGCCACCCGTGCCCCCCGTGAGGCGAGG